ACTTCTAATGGAGATTTTTCTAGGACACAGATCTCATTAGGCCGGTTGCGTTCCGACCATATGTTGCAATTAAAGCGGAAGCTCGACAAACAGTTTCTTCATCAACTGCCTACTGCAATAGTAGCATTAGAAGTGATAATTTGTTAACAAAGCGCTTGTCTAAGTAAGTGTTGAATTTCCTAAATTTCATTCTTTTTGCCTGCTATGTGTCAGTGGTATTTTGATTGTGCATAAAAATGCAGTAATAGAAAAGTGAAAGCTCGTGTAAAAAATATTATTTCTACTGCTGTTGAAGTCCTAGTACAACAGGCCTTTTGCATTAACTGACGTCTATCCTGAAAGGAGGAAATTAGAAAAAAACGAGGGCACCTTTCGACGGTTGATGTTTTCCGTTTTCCGTTCGGAGGGCTTTTAAAAATTATGAATTTTTTCCTTTCTTTCATGTGACCTTCATTTTATCATAAGATTACAACTACAAGTGTTCGCTAATTTAAGATTAAAATTTATCGAAAATTGAAATTTATTTACTGAACTCACTGTAGCAGTGACGATCTGAAACGGCCTTCACAGCAAACAAAGGACGCGATGCCGAATTCCTCAGCTCCACTGTCCAGCAATAACATTCGGCCACGAGGCATTTATCAGCCTTCAACAAGGTTTATTTTTGCTTTAGCTCAGCTCAGCTTGGTTTATCAAAACAAGACATCGATGTGGGGGAATTTTGCTAGCAAAAGCATCAAAACTCAATTAGCATACATTATTCATTCTGAGTTTCCCTGAATAGTTAAAAAATTGAAATACGTGGGTGTGGGAATCATATTGTTGTTAAAATGATAAAATTAAATTTTTGGTAAAATTAAGACCGTAATTATCTTTTACCCACATAAGTGAAATAAGTTGTTTTTTTTCGGACACTTTTTTGGCGACAGTGGTTGTAGTGGCACTTCTTAAGAGCAACTACCTTTTCTCTCTCGAAGGGCAGTTAGCTGGAGGGAAAAGTACTGAATGAGTATGTAACTTCGTTCATAAAGACTGTTAACACCGTTATGAATATTGATTGTCCACAGTTAAATGTGATTGTTAGTCAAAGCTCAAAACCTCTCCTTATTCAGTTCTCACGACAAGCAGGGAAGTAACTGAGTGATAATAATTGTCAGCAGCAATTATCCACTGGCCAGTTTGTTGATGGCTCTCTGTTTCGATGATTGCTTGATTGCTTTCGATGATTGCTTGAAAAAAAGCTGATGGCGAATTTGAATTCTTGATTTGCGCCATTACCAATTTACCATCGAAACGAACAAACCAGTCATAGAGGGATTGGTTGTTCACTGGCGTAGAAAAGCACAAAAGCAACGTTACTTGCCACCGTCCACTCTTTACGAGCGAATGTGATTCATAAAATGCATAAACTCTGACATGAGTTTGAAACTGAAATCTGTGATCCCTGAACAGCATTTCAGTGAGTAATGAGTTTCCTCTTAACACTTGCAGACCGAACGGTCTCTCTAAGTAGTGTGCAAAATTTTGCAGTTCTGAATTGGTACCAGCATCTGCTCCGTACATTAAGGCAAATAAATTCGATAGTGAGGAGAACGATTATGACGTTGTACCGGAGTACATCGAACGAGACAAATTCTACATTGATGGTAAGCCGAGCAAACTTCAGGATATGTCACATCTGTCAGTGTGTAGTGGAAAATCTGTACTTTTTCAGTGAGATAGAGGAGGGTAAAGAATGTAATTTATCAAACTTTCGCACTTTGATTAGCTGCATCTCATAGCGTGGTTCTCCATTTTTATGGCTAATAACCTCTCCAATTGTTTTGACCAATGCTGCATCATCTAGCGGCCAGCTACTGGCAATCATGGTGCTCGTTTCTTCACCTGAAATGATTACCAGCTCAACGGTTATCCCAACTTTAGAAATACCACTTTCAATAAAAATCATGGTTGGTGCGCATCAGTTGTGCCGAAGATAACCATATTATGTTTTGTTATACTGTCTACTGACGTCCATTGGAAAGAAGAATGCTCGAGGAGCATGCGAGTGCAGAGTACCTAAAAATTTGCATATTCAAATTATATTCGTTATGCACAGTTTTCGCGCATTAAACAGTTTTTATGCGTTTTTGCATATATGTAAATTGCAAAAACGCATATTGGGAAGAGGCTGTCTGTGTGTATGTGTGTGTGTGCGTGTGTATGTGTGTGTGTGTCTGTGTTTTCGCACTTTTTGTCACCCACTTTCAACTCGAGACCCAGAAAAGCTAGAAGGCTGAAACTTTAGAAGATATGTGCCTATACCATGCGCGACCCTCCCGTTTTAATTTCATCCCCCTTGGACGCCTGGGTGC